CTGAATCATTAATCTCATTTACTTTACACGTTGTTTATGTAAACTGATGAAAGTGCCAAGTGCATCTCAAAGTCCAACACAGGTGCTACGAATGTAATAATGGGAGGAACTCGGTGAGGCACAGTAGGAATTTTGGCCATTGTCCTCAGAGGGAAAGTTTTAAGAAAGAAATATAGTCTAGCATGTAGTTCATATTTGCTTGTACTTTCCTGTTTTTCTTAAAGGAACTCTTCCCAATGCTTCATTCATCTCTCAATGATTTCTAGGATGAATGCTTCCCAATGCTTCCATGGGATGGTGTCTTTTCGATATTGAAACAACCCTCACTCATTAGGTAGAACATCTGTATTTTTTCTTTTTTAGCTATTGATAGCCTCTTAATAAACAACCAAGTATTTGCCTTGCAAGTTCACCTCTCTGAAAATACAAAATCAGTACCACCCAAAAGCTGACACTCTAAAAAGCTTTGTATGGCTTGTCTCAGTTTAGGTTCTTACAAGGGTATTTCTTAGATCACATGATCTCACACATCTAGAGGAAATGATGAACAACATAGACTGATGAACAAAAACAGACCCAGAGAAAGAGAAGCAGTGATCAGACTCTCAAATCTCAGAGGGAAAGTAGGGGAGGGAGGGGGTAAGGGAAAGAGATCAACCAAAGGACTTGTGTGCATCCATATGGGCCTGGCCAGTGGCCATGGACAACAGGGGTGTGAGGGCATATGTAGGGAGGGGTTTGGGATGGGAATGGGGGATGAAGACAATTATGTGATACCATAATCAATAAAAAAAATATATATATAAGGAACTAAATTGAAAAAAAAAAAAAGTATTGTCAAGTTGTCAGAGCCTTGCTTAATAGTGACTGTTTTGGGAGTCAAAGAAGGAAAAAACCGATGGCTTTTATAAAGCCAGATGTTACTAAGGTACCAGGAAGTGCCAGAAACTCTAATAAAAACTTTCAAGTTCGGAAACAAGTGTGGCACTGGATTGTTTAAGAGGATTTACTTCAATATCCAAGAAGATATTTTGATTTCTATGGAGACATTTAAAAGAAATTATTTCAAAGAGGGCTTATATTTACTAAAACGAATAACTACATTTTTATCACTCTCCTTATATACTTAAATACAATGTTTTATCGTTAAGTGGGTTCAAATTAGGGACCAGGATAAACAATTGCAGAGTTTCTAAATGCAACACTTTTTCCACCCTTGAACTTTAAATTATGCTCTTTGTGACTGAGGAGAGACCTTTAAAACTGTTTGATCTCACATAAAACTGTTCAAGTTTGTCTGTCCTTTCTTAAAAGAAAAGAAAATGTTTCATTTAAGACAATTATAGCTTGCCGAAACTGGTTTGGCTCAGTGGATAGAGAGTCAGCCTGAGGACTGAAAGGTCCCAGGTTCGATTCAGGTCAAGGGCATGTACCTTGGTTGCGGGCACATCCCCAGTAGGGGGTGTGCAGGAGGCAGCTGATCGATGTTTCTCTCTCATCAATGTTTCTAGCTTTCTATCCTTCTCCCTTCCACTCTGTAAAAACTCAATTAATATATATATATATATATATATATATATATATATATATATATATATATATATATTTTTTTTTTAAGACAATTATAGCTAATAAAAAATGTACATAATTGTGATTTTTATGAAAGGTTTTATTTAATTATATCCCAATATGAGGATTTTAGAAGTAAATGATATCCCATTGTCCAAATGCTTCTATTTAGTCTTGAAAGTCTCTTATCATTTATTCTCTCAGTCTTTGCTACTTACATAGAAAAGAGGTGAAGAAATAACCATTATATAGCCAATTCCCCAGATCAGAGTATCTAAGAATCATGCAGTGAAGGGGCCTGTTACCTGTATTTTTCTCTAATTAAGGTTAATGAAAGCCTATAAAATCATTACACTCAACATTTAAGCCAAATTTAAATAATACAACCCCCAGAGGTATGAAGGAACACTTTGCATCTGTTCAGCATCCTAATAAATTCATTTCTAATTTAAGTACATTTGCAACAAGGGCATTGTCTGGGAAGTACATTACAATTTAGGGACTTAAAAAACTTCTATTAAGCAATTTTACTTTTATTAATATTCTCTTAGAAACATTACACATGTTTATAATAATTTGACTCAATCCTAGGAAAATGGAGCTAATTAATGTTTAGATATATAAGTATATATGGTCACTAATTTATATAGTATATTATATGCATGTATATTTATATATGTTAAAATTATGAATTATATTGATATATTTCTTATAACTATCCTTTCCAATCCTTCCTCAAATATTTATTTTCTAATAAATGTACATATTTTTGTAAATACTACTGGATATACTATATACTTAATATTTTTAATAATGAGAGAAATTGAATAAACTTAAATATTTCATCTCAATGGTTAAGAATAAAGTCCTTTTGAAATAGATTTATATTACTACCAGATCAATAATATAGACACTTAATTTTTTTTATTGTTATCAGTTTCAGAGGCAGGAGGGGAGAGGGAGAGAGAGAGAGAAACATCAGTGCTGAGAGAATCATTGATCAGCTGCCTGCAGCACATTGGGGACTGAGCCTGCATCTTGGACATAGACTGGGAATGAACCTAGATCTCCTGGTTCATGGGTTGATGCTCAACCGCTGAGCACCACTGGCTGAGCAGAATGTAGACTTTTTTAATGATTTTATTGATTAAAGAGAGGGAACATTGATGAGAATCATTGATCGGCTACCTCTTGCACAACCCACACTGGGGATTGAGCCCCGAACCCTGTATGTGCCCTGACCAGGAATCCAACTATGATCTCCTGGTTCAAGCTAAACCACTGATCCACACTGGCTGAGCAACATTTTCATCTTTTGGTTTGTCATGTAGGATTGCTGAAGAGCATCAACATTTTTAATCAATGTTTATTTTCAGATGAAATGGTATTTAATTTCTGAGGAAAAATATATTTCCCTAGAATAAGTGTAAATTGCTTTCTCAAGTGCACAGCTTTCTAAAATGTAACGCAAGTTCTATGATTAGATTTAGTACAAAAAAAAAAAAAAAAACCCACAAGTTTCCATTTAAAAACCAGCTGTATATACATGTATACAAAATTGCACATGTATTTGTCTAACAGTCTTAGGAACAACTTTCAGAAACTATCAAAGCTTTGAAAATTCCATTTAAGTCAGAATGTCTGCTTTGGCTCAACAGACATATTTAAATAGTATCCTCTCTACTTCCTTTTTTAATATTCTCCATTGTACCTAGCGAAAACTTTTGTCATCTAAATACAGCAAATATGTTCTACTTCGGCACAAATGTAGTGTACATGAAATTCCAACAAAAAAAGGAATGACATATAAATTGGAATACCCTATCTACTCTCACGCTGGTTACCTGACTGCTGTATTTCTTTTAGGAGAAGTTTCTTTGAACATAATGAAGATTAGTTCTAAGGGTTTTGAATGTTAATCTTCATAGTCCTTTCTTAACATCTGTTCCAACTGGTGACTATTGTGCTCAATGAGTAATTAGTAAGAGAATACAGATACTTGAAATAGGAATCTTATTTCCTTGCCAGCCATTTAACAGATTTATGAATATACCACTTATTTATCTATCTCACAAAGCTAGTCAGGAAAAATTTAAATTCAGGCTTACTCTCCCAAGGAAAATGTGTGCACTGATGAAAGAGACATGCTGTGTTGGAAAATGGTACACTTACATTATCTACATTACCTTTTAGGGTGAAACCATAATACATGTGGACCCACCTCATTATGCTACAGATCTTTCATTTAAATGATGTTTTCTTCTCCGGTTTTTAATGACTAAAACATGACAACCTTTCTCATCCTGGTTTCTGTCCATCTCTCTGACAAAATCTCCCACACACCCGTCACTCCCTCTGGTATTTAATGAGCTAAAAACAGTCACAGTTAGGCGGTGGTAGCTGGTATTTGTACAAACTATTCCATACATCGTTTTCCAACCCAAAGCAAGGAAGTATTTTATAAAATATCTGTTTTCTTCTAAACATAAATTCTCCTACATAGGGTTTTACTCAATCATGCTATACAGCATCAAGCTTATCCCAGGCATAGATAGAAATGCGAGCAAGGAGGATAAGAGAAACAAACACAAATATAAAACCAGCCCCTATGCTGTTGGATTTCATTCTAGTCAGACGTTTTGATGTGGGCTGAAATGGAACTATTTCAGAATTTTATATTAAAGCAGACTGGCTGCTCATACTTACTGAAAACAGCTAAGGGATAGGCAAAAGCAGGTTGACTTGCTGCAACTTGAAACTCATTATTGCCATGTACCATCCCTGATTTTACTGTGAGAAAACCATGCTAATGAAGCCAAGGTCTTAGGTGACAGGGAGCCAATCAGCATCTGACAGTCTCTGAGTCACAGTTTTATCCGCTTTCTTTGAAATATCCATCCTTAGCAGAGAAACTATGTGTGAGTATGAAATAGTGTCTGTCTATTACCAGCACTAGAAAAGCAACACACGTTCCATGTCTTATGGGGAATGATCAAAAAGCAACATCGTCTCATTACAGTATATAAAATAATCTAGAATTTCCAACACGAAAGAGAAAGGAGCGGGAAAGGGTATGGCTAACTAAAGCTACCAAGTGATATCTGGTTAGTCTCGTGACTCTCCTAGTTCTCCTCTCTCCTGCAACTCAGAAGAAAGACAGACTTGCTGGCTGCATGCCCCACACCCTGGCAGAATCTTGATCAGTCTTAGGGCAGCAGTGACTGCTCTGAACTCAGAGAACACCCGTCACCATGGCAGCGCGACTCTTGTTCTCTCTCTGCGTGTGTCTTGGTGTCTCTTATCTCGGCCTACAGACGTGGTCCCTGCTGGCCGGAAGAGCATTGCCATCAGACACAAGCAAGCTGATCTCTCTTTACCGGTATGCCCCGGGGCATCGCTCGCAAAGAAGAGAGAGAAGGAGGTAACGGTACCCGCATGAAGGAGAGGTCCCGGTTGTGCTCGATGCTGGTGATCTCCAGGTTGCCCATGACGACCTCGCAGTTCTCATAGTACTTGCGCAGGGCTCGGTACTGCTGCTCCAGGTCCGAGAGGGAGCTCAGCTTGTTCTCTGTTCCTGCACACACTGCCAAGACAAGAAGATGCACGGAGAGTTATATAACCCTCAGAGGACATGCCAGTACCATCTCCCTCAAGTCCGTATTCCACACACCACCGCAATGCCCCCAATGAAAATATGAAAATGTCATGAAGACCCATAACCCGCACACCGATACATGTGCCTTTATGTTTCCAGCTTTATTGAGATACAACATTGGGTAAGTATAAGGTGCGCAGCATGTGGATTTGATACATTTATAGATACCCTGCAAATGTATTATCAATAGCTAGCTGACACCTCCATCACCTCGCTCAGTTACTATGTCTTTCTTGTGGTGAGAACATGTAAAATGTACTCATAGCAACTTTCAAGTAAATAATATGATATTGTTACTTATAACTGCCATGCTGCACAATAGATGCTCAGAACAGATTCATCTTATAACTGGAAGTGTATACTCTGACATATCCCCCACTTCCCCTACCCCCAAAGCCCCTGGAAACCACCATTTTTCTCTCTGTTTTTATGAATCAGCTTTCTTTCATTCCACATATAAATAATATTACATATTTTCATTCATAAATTGCATGGGTTAATGACAGAGAGTAAGAAGCCATGGGTTCCACAGAAACACATAGCAAGGAGATAAATTTAAATAATCACACTTCTAATGAGCACACGAAGAATGTAAATACATTTAATTTCATTTAAACAAGAATTTCTTTTGGACTTATAATTCACCCTGTTTTCTAACAGGATACATTCTATAAATGGACATGAAAAGATGGTGAAAATAACATGTTTTCCAATTTTAATGTATCTTTATTGTTGAAAGTATTACAGATGTCTCCTCCTCCCTCCTCCCTCCATTGACCCACTACAACCCCAACCCACGCCTCCTAGGCCTCCATCACACTAGTATCTGTGACCAGGGTTATGACATTCCCTATTGCAAAATAAGCTGAATACAATTTTTACCTAATTAACACTTGGGTTTTTTAATACTCAAATACTACTTTTTAAAATACAAATAATAAACAGCTTGGATTTAAATACTTACAAGCATACACTACAAAAAAGATTGTATAATAAAAGTTAACCTTTTTTTATATAAGCAGGGTCATTACTACATATATTCATCAATGTGCTGAGATATAATATAATGGACTGCTAATAAATGAACTTTGTTTGCCATAATTGGGGGCACAGCTATTGAAACTGTTCAAATGGGAGCACATGAGTGTACAAACATGTTTTTGGTTGTGTGTGTGTTGATATCTTTTCTGTCCTCTAGAAGTCAGAGTTTTAGTGATGACTTCTTATGGCTTATATACTTGCCTGAACAAAATCTATACCATTGAATGTGCCAATTTGAATCTTTAATGAACTGAAAAACTCTATTATGGATCTTATAATAATAATGATAATGATAAGGATAATGATAATAATTAATAATAGTAATATGTAAAGTTTAAAAAATAGAGAGTGAATAAATCTTCTTTGAATAAGTTACATAATACTAGAGGCCGGGTGCACAGATTCTGGCACTTGTGGGGTTTCTCAGCACGGCCCATGTGGATTGGCCTGAACCCAGCAGTCCAAGGCTGCCTGCTGCTCCTGCCTGTCGCTCCCGCTCATGCTGGCCCATCATGCGTCTACCATGGGCTTGCACCCGTGTCAGTCCTGATTAGGAGAGGCTCAAGCCGCCACAGTGGCCTTCTCTGCCCACGAGCCCTGCATCTGGTGCCCTTTGTCAGCTGAGTGGAGCTCCCACTGTGGAAGCACACTGACCACCAGGAGGCAGCTCCTGAGCTGAGCAACTGCCCCCTGGTGGTCAGTGCACATCATAGCGACTGGTCAAACAGTCATTCAGTAACTTAGGCATATATATATATATATATATATATATATATATATATATATATATGTGTGTGTGTGTGTGTGTGTGTGTGTGTGTGTGTGTGTGTGTATACACACACACACACACACACACACACAAAACTTAAGGCATGCTGTAAAGTGTGGACTTTGAAGACACTGGAAACAGAACCTGGTAACCATGTCATATACACATTTGTGTGTCATGTACACAGAAATGACAAAATAGTTATGATCCTATGTGGTGTTCAATGGAATGGGGTTTAGAACAGAAAGAAAAAAATTCTAAGTGGGCATATTTTAATAATTAGGGCCACCTTAAGGCCTACTTTTGCCTATTGACACATTTAAAATAACAAAAGTTAGATCCAAAATTCAAAAAGTAATGCAAACATTTAATTCCATTATAAGCACATTATAAAAACAAAACGCAACCTTTTCTTGCTTGGATTTCTTTCTTTTTTAAAAAAAATATATATTTTATTGATTTTTTACAGAGAGGAAGGGAGAGAGATAGGGAGCTAGAAACTTCGATGAGAGAGAAACATCGACCAGCTGCCTCTTGCACACCCCCTACCGGGAATGTGCCCACAACTTACGTACATGCCCTTGACCAGAATCGAACCTGGGACCTTTCAGTCCACAGACTGACGCTCTACCACTGAGCCAAACTGGCTTCGGTTCTTGCTTGGATTTCTAAAGCTCACCAAGCAATACATTTTCTAGGAATACTCCTTTAATAGTGGAATCGGGTCCCTCTAAAAGATTTATTGAAGTCCTAACCCCTGGCACTTGTGAATGTGACCTTATTTTGAAATAGGGCCTCTGCAGATGTAATCAAGTTAAAATGATGATATTAGGGTGGGCCCTAATCCAATATGATTCATGTCATTCTAAGGAGAGCAAAGCACCATGTGAATACGCAGGGAGAAAGCCACGAGGCCACAGAAGCAAAGATAGGAGTGATGGAGCTACAATCTCAGAGTGCCAAGAATTAATGGTCATCACCAGAAGCAAGGAAAAGGCAAAGACAGATTCCACCCTGAGAATCAGAGGGAGCAAGACCCTACTGGCCTCTGGAATTGTGAAAGAATAAACTACTTGCTTTAAGCCACTTAAATTATAATACATGATTTTCATTTTATGACTCTCAGCACTTTGTTATAGTAGCCCTAGAAAACCAATACATAATCTTCAAACTACTCCTCATTGAAATCTCACATTTAAAGAAATTGTCAAGATCACCTCCTCTCTACAGGGCCCTATAGCTGATCACCTCCTACCAGTGTTTCCCAAACTTTTGACATATTTGTACCCCTTCTATAATTTTCATAACGCTGGGTACCCCTTGTACTTATGAGAATGTGGAATTAGGCGCAGCTAAGCACGGTGCAGTGCATATCCCCACCAAACTCTTCCCGTACCCCTGGGGGTACGCGTACCACGCTTTGGGAAACAAAATCCATTCTCCCTTTCTCCCTTCTGAATGCCAAGTCCCTCACACAGCAGGATGGAATTCATTTGTTGTCTCTGAGAATGTAGTTTTTGTAAAGTGATAAGATTGGACACAAAGACATCTAGAATCCTCAACATCCATTCTCCTCTTCCTTCACAGTGACAGGCTGAACAATATTAGCCTCGCATGTTGCCAACCCAAATAAAGATGGCATTTCTCTGCTCATCTTGGAGATAAGATTAGCAAGGGACTAAGTTAGGGCATATTCTATGATTCCTTCCTAGAACTTTATTTAAAACTTGGAGCCTGACACTGCCTTCTTTCTTCTTCACTTCTTTCTCCAATCTGCTGGCTGACATAGAAATGTGGGAGCTCAAACATGAACCATCACCTTGGACCACAGGGATGAGAGATATGCCTCAGAGCATGGATGGAACCTTTCTTCTGCCAGGAGCCATTTGGATATCCATAACATAAGTCAATTCATAGAAATGTATGTTGTGAACAAAGCTCCTAGATTTACTGAATTTCCACCACGCAAGACCTTGGCATGGTCACACCAAATGACTTCTTGGGCTTTTTATGGCATTTGGGCCAGACATCCCCCACCGCTGCCTTAGAAGACTGCGAAATGAGCTAAAAACAACCAGGGTTTTCATAAAATGGATTTTTTACATCGTTTTATTATCATTCACATCATGATAATGGTGAGTTTTGGTCCTAGCTGCTGCAATAGTATACAAAGACATGATTCAAGTCTAGTTACATTCTATTGTTTAGATCTTAAGAAATGTTATCTATTCTGTCTGGTTGTTTGACTGAATTTATTCAAGTCATAATGAAATGAAAATCATTGTGAAAGTTTTCATTGTTACTAAAACCAACCAACACCAGAAATGAACTTCTATCGGTAACTACAATAATATTCAACACAAGGCGGAGGACAACAACAACCGATTTGTGTACACAATCTTTGTAATCAAGATCAAAGTCCAGCTTCCCCCCAACTCATTCTAGAGACTGAGAAACATAATAATCCATGATTTTCATGCTATTACTCTCAGCAAATTTATAACAAAATATTTGTAAACCCGCTAAATGGCTGTAGAAAAAAAGCTACTATTATATAGTTCATGAGATATAGATTTGAATTATTTCAAATGTATCTGAAGACAAGCTTATATTTAAATGCAATTACTGATGGGAGTAATTAAGCATCACTTAATTAACTTGCTGTGACATTTCTAAACTATACACAATGACACATTGCAAATTATGTACAACCTGTGTTCTACAAGTTTCTTTCAATTGGAAATAAAACCCTTAGTTTAACATTAACATATTCAAAAATAAATATGTAAACACCTAAATGAAAAATTTTCTAAAATATATAGTATATTCCTTTCTATGAAATCCTAAACAAATTTTGATAGAAAGATCTATTAATATAATAATAATGTATTTTTGCATGTGTCTCATCCTGAATATATGAGGTACTTAATAAATTATTAATTTGTATTACAAAAATATGCTTATATAAGAAACCCTCAAAATCTGTAAACTCTTTTAACACAGGTGTAATATTTTAATCATTATTTTGAATGTGTTGAGCTTTGCAAAAAATTATTTTTATAATACCCATTTAATTGCTATAAAATAATTATAACTCATATCCAGATAATAACCCTCA